AACATCTATATTTTGTTTGGTCATACACCTTTATTTTTCATGTTTTGTTTTCAACAAAGTCCTTATGGATAATTTTTAGCCTAGAATATCTATGAAGATGAAACATTCCTCGAGCCACTCCCTCTATAATGCTTAAGCGTTTTCTCCAATTAAGGACTTTATTTTTTGATGGATCTAAAGAATCAAAAGGTAGAAGTATATGAACTCTATTATTTTGATATGAAGCAATGCCATCTTAATTTCATAATTTAGTAATTTCAAGAAAATTGAGATTAGTATGTGTACCTAAACAAGTGTACATAGGTAATTTTATCACTTCAAGTCCTTATCCAATAAGTCGTCATCCTCCTAGTCTTTATCCTTGACACTCTCCTAGTCTTCGATTATACTTATCTGAAGGGTTCAAAATATAGTTTAATTACCTTTAATAATGAAATGAGTAGTTTTCAATTATACCTACCCAAGGAGGAAAAATGATGTACATGCAAAAGGCACTTCAACACTTAAGTCAGTCCTTGATCTTAGACAAGTTAACAAAATTGTAGGATAGAGGTTCAATATCTTGCAAGAGTAAGGAACAAACTCTTATTTCCTCTTCTACTATGCAATCATAGTTCATTGCTTGTTTTGCTAGTGCCACTCATGTTTTTTGGTTGAGGAATCTTGTGATAGGACTTTGCATTGTGAACTCCATTGTTAGGCCTATGAGTTTTACTTATTGTTAATATGTTGCAGGAGGGTTTAGTTAAGCAGACGACCCAGGGCTCATTTGTTTCCCATGGTCGGGATGATATCCTCACAACGACCATAGGAAGGCCAGAGCACGTAGGCCGAGTGCGTGGTGTTGGTGGTTCTTAGAGCCACCGAGATTTCTTTGGTGCACGATCATCGAGGAACACTGTTGACTCTTGTAGTTAAGAGCCTATGCAGAGAATGGAGATGCAGTTTGAAGAGAAATTGAAGAACATTCGAGAAGAGTTTGAATAGAAGTTTGAACTTTTGGCTCGTTCTCAGCAACAGATTGCAGTTGCTCATGATGGTGTTCGAGTCAACACTAAAGGGAGTTGTGCTGCTCCAGATCCCTCAGCGAAACAGACTCACACTGATGTACCAAACCAGTGTGAGCGTTATATGTTGAGGATGACCCCCCACGGTTAGTGGCTATTGGTCGAGTATTTGAGGGTGGCTCAACCATCCATGGTGTCCCTCTACAGCCAGACTGGACACGGGTTGTGGTTGACCAAGTTCAAGATGCTGCTGCTCTAGTGCATTTGCCCAATACAGAGGTTCAACTAGTGGGGCAGGCAACTGGCACATTATTAGCTTGGCCAAAACGTTTGGTCATGCCGCTTTCAGCACGGGCAAAGGTAATTATATTATTGCTCTTTTATATTCTTATAATTCTATTATTGTTTAACTAATTTTGATTATTTCTTTAGGATTTTATCAATCGTGGTAAGGAGGTCATGAGAGAACCTCATGTTGATGATGCTAATATCGCAGAAGCTGAGGGTGATCCCATATCTAAGCTTCTAATCATATTACCACGATTAAAGAAGAAACCAATTCAATTGCAGTGGGACATTAGAGTTTTTGGAGTTGATAGCTCTGATGTTCCACTATACATATCTCTGCCTGATGCATTAGAGATTGTTGGGGGAAACTCCATGTTAAATATATCTATCATACAGCTGTGGGCCATGTAAGTCATATTTTCTTTTATGAGTCTAAATTTACAATAATTACATTTAACTTATAATAATTATTTGTGTTAGGTACATGGACAAATTGAGTGTGGAGCAAGCACAAGCAGAAGTATATGGATTTATTGAGCCTCAATCCATCCAAAAATCAGGAAACACTCAGGTCCAGATCCAGCAATATATGCAAACATGGATGAGTGACTCAAGAAGAGATATATACATGGCTCCATACATTGACGGGTTAGTTTTTTAATTGGTTTTTTAATCATGGTAATTTTATAACTAATTTGTTTGTCATACAATGTAGGTCCCATTGGCAGTTAATGGTAATCATTCCTAAGGAATACACCGTGGTGTGGTTTTGTTCACTACATCGAAAACCAAGCCACGAAATTAAATGCCAATTACAAGGGTAACTAAATTTTTTCATTATGTTTTAAAACTGTAATTATATATATTGGCTAACATCTGTTTTTATTTCAATTAATTAGAATCGTGTCTGGAGCTAATATTTTAAGTGGAAGAAGCAGATCATCAAAGACATTGCACTTCATATACCCTAAGGTTAGCAAATTAATTAATACAGGCAATAATATTTAAATTTATTGACTTTGGAAATAATAGTTATTTGTTTCTCATTTTAGTGTAATAAGCAACAAGACTCGTTTGAATGCGGCTATTACATCATGTATTGGATGAGAGCCATAGTTTCTGCGGGTATTACTGATTCTTGGGCGCAAGTAATTTATATCAAAATTTATTTAAGTATATTTACCTTTACCATAATTAACATTGCATATTAATGACACTTAAATTAATGTTTCAGGTCTTTCAAGATCCATCTCCATTGCCCGAAGATGAGATCATCAAGATAAGAGAACAATGGGCAACTTTTTTTCTTCAAAGTATATAATAGTTAGATTTCTAAGTTTAGTTAGTTAGATATTATGTTTCTAGTTTAATAGCATTCACAAACATATGTTTTATATCTTTTTTAGGATAATAGGATTTACATTGTCATAATTTATGCTTTTTAACATTTATATATTATTTTCTTTGTCTTTCAATTTTGAAATATAATTTGAATTTCTATTCTGGACTGCCTGGTTTAGATTTTATATTCTGGACTGCCTAGTTTAGGTTTTATATTCTGGACTATATATATATGCAGGTTAATTTTGGGTATATAAAAAAAACAAACGTTTTTAAAAAAAAAGTAATAATTTACGTCGGACTAGACCAAGTTCGGCGTAAATTTACGTCGGCCCTAGCACTGGCCGATGTAAATTTACGTCGGACATGGTCTAGTCCGACGTAAATTATTGCGTCATTTTTCCCCTTTTAAAGCCCTTTTTATGTCGGGCACAAGGCATCTCCGACGTAAATTTACGTCGTCTTTGATAGGCGATGTAAATTTACGTCTCCCGTATTAACGTCGGAGCCTTTTCCGACGTAAAAAATTCAAAATATGCGACGTAAAAGACCCCTTTTGTACTAGTGCAAATTTGATCAATATTGGAGTGAAATTGTATCAATCTTACCTTTGGATGTGTTATTAACCTTATGGCAAAATTGAATTTTATAAGTTTTTGCTATAAATGGCTTTATCCATATGATTATGAAGAGAAAGCGAATAGGATAAAAGAGAGTTTGTATAATTTTTTTTTGGTGAATATGTAAAGTAAACAAGTACATCAAGTTCATCTCTACTCAGTATTTCATCAAGAGACATTCAATCTCATCCAATGCCGAAGGGAACTTTCTCATCATCCATACTAAATAATTATTAATAGTTGAGATCATATCTAGTTCCTTAAACAATTTCTTTATTTTGAATTTACAAAAAATTACATATATATATATATATAATTTTTGGATCTAAAATCATTTAAAAAAAAATTATTCATTTTTGTTCAAGGCCTATTTATCCCGATGATCCAGTGGCATGTCGGATCAGAAAAAAATATCAACCTAAACATAATTCATGCTATTTTAAGTTGGCCCAAAAGTACCATGTGACCTGTACAAGCCGGTCAAGCTAGGACAGTCTAAACCGTTTGATAACTCTATTTGAAGGGTTGTGGAGGTTATGCAAGGGACATGCTTGCATTGACATACTTGTATGACAAGTTATTTACACTACTAGAATTTATCTTATTACACTACTAGACTTTTCATGCAAGGGAAACGTTGTTCCTTCAAATTTTCTTGCGAAATTTTATCTGCAGGTAATACCTTCGTAGATAATAATTTTTTGCGAATTTTAAAATTCGCAGGAAATTTTCCTGCGAAATTTCTTGCGAAAAAAATTCGCAGGAAAGTTTTCTGCAAAAAAAAAAAATTGCAGGAAAGTTTCTTGCAAAAAAAATTCGCAGGAAATTTTGCAAGAAAGTTTCCTGCGAATTTTTTCGCAAGAAATTTTACAGGAATATTTTTTACGAAAAAAATAAAGAAATTACTATAAATTCTATCAATAATTTTTTAACTTTCAAATGCTCACAATGAATTCATTCGAAACATTTGTTTCCATGCCTCCAACATGTGATACATAATATTTTAAATTCTAAGATGGTAGATTATAAGTCTAACACTCAACCATATAAATCAACTTGTAAGGTAAGTGTTGTCCCAACTTATATACTCTTTAATTGCTTTATTTTCAATCGATGTGGGGACTTGAAGTTTTTTTAAAATATTAAACTTATAAATTTAAATTTATTTTTTTTATTTTTTTTATTTTTCCTGCAGATTAAAATTTGCAAGAAAATCCGCAGGAAAAGTTACCTGCAAAATTTTTCTACCATTTAGTAAACATTACTTGCGAATTTATTTTTGCAAGAAAATTTGCAAGAAACAAAATAAAATTCTTACAATATTTTTTGCAAATTTTTACCATGGAAAAAAAATTCTATGATTATTAAAATTGTAGCAAAATTTGTAAAAAATATCTGTAAATTATTTTTCGCAAATAAATTCACAAAAAAATTTTGTGAATATTTTTTTGCAGGAAAATTTGAAAAAAATTTCTGCGAATATTTTTTTGCAAGAAAATTCGCAAAAAAATTTTATGAATTTTTTTTTGTAGAAAAATTTATAAGAAAATGACATTTTTTTAGTAGTGCTAACAACTATATGGCACGCACCAAGTAGCTGGTCAGTTATATATACGACCTTGCTTTAGGTAAATAACTTTTTCAATTCTTTGTTAATTATAATTATATTCATAAAATTAATTTATTATATTGTCATATACCTAGGTCTTCTAACCCTTGGGTTGGTTTGAGGGCAAAGGCCACTGAGGTAAATGCACAATTGAGTCATAGACAGTTGGAACATAATTATCGGTTGTTGTACATTAGAGGCCACTGGATCAACTCATCGGAGATGATCTTTGCTGGATGCCTTATGATGACCACCGTACAAAACGGCCATTTCTCTCCATCTCGTTATTCTATGGTTTTCTGGTGGGCCATGATATACCTTCACTTGCCAAAGAGAGTTTTGCACCAATATAGGTACATCTAGATTAAATAGACCTACACTCAAAAACTGCATATTTAAGTATTGGACTTGACAATAAATTCATAAACAAATGGTGATCGATAGAAATGCAAATTGAATCACTTAATAATATTTTGGGCTCAAATGAATAATACTTTTGGGCTCAAATGAATAATATTACTAAAATTGATTACTCTAGTGTGCAAAATTCTAAATGTTAAAATTGCTTTGCACACTAGCTTATAATTTATAATCACCGGTACAATTTATATTGAGTGATAAAGATACACATAATTAATCCATCTTTCTTAAAGCTCTTATTTTGCTATCTACCACTAACATTTGTAATACTAACACTATTGACCGAGGAAGAACTATAACGCTCTTTAGATGATACCGAATTCAACATAGTTTGCCTCTGGATGAATGCAGGTTGACTTGGAGGAGGAAGAAAGGCAACCTCACTGTTAAGCATAGAAATTACTGCAGACATAGTGGGCCTCTCTATAGCATGTTCTTGTACACATAGTAGTCCTATGTGTATGCACCTTAAAATATCTTTATGATGATTAGGATCATACATTCCTGGATCTATTAAAGATAATATGTTGCCTTCGTTCCATTGTATCCAGACCTAAAATGAAAAAAGGGAAGAAAAAAAAAAGTCAATCGTTGGAGTTGTATCAGAAAAAGGCAAAAGTTCCTATAAATGAGTACAAAATGATTTGTAGAAAGACTTACAAATCCTAAGAGACTAAGAGCATGCTCATCATCATAAAAGCTTGTGTTTTTTCTTCCACTAACTATCTCTAGTACCAAAACTCCAAAGCTAAAGACATCTGATTTCTCTGAAAATAGTCCTTGCATTGCATATTCAGGAGACATATAGCCACTGCATTCAATTGTAAAAATTTATTCTCTGAGTATTTTACTCTAACATTGGATAAAGAAATTAAGCATACTTACTAGGTTCCAACAATTCTGTTAGTGTTGGCTTGATCTTCATTCCCTCCAAAAATTCTAGCCATACCAAAGTCTGATATTTTTGGATTCAACTCTTGATCTAATAAGATATTACTTGTCTTCAAATCTCTATGTATGATTCTTAGTCTGGAATCTCTATGAAGATAAAGCAATCCACGAGCAATTCCTTCTATTATGCTACAACGCTTCCTCCAATCTAGGAGTTTGCTTTTTGATGGATCTAAAAGGTAAGGGTAGCATTAGACTATTGTCAACATAATATTACAATAATAATTTATGAGGATGAGTCATATAAATCCCATGGTTAGCATGCTTTCAAGAAAACTCACTCGCTAGAAAATGATTATTGATTTCATAGATAGTATATATGCCAAATAAAGAGAACCATATAAGTTTGGAATTGGATATGGGACAAATAGCAGAGGAGACATGAAAGAACTAACCAAAGATAAACACATCCAAACTTTTGTTTGGCATGTATTCATATATCAACATCTTTTCATCACCTTCAACACAGCAGCCAAAAAGTCTTACAAGATTGCGGTGTTGAAGCTTGGAAATCACCACTACTTCATTCATGAATTCTTCTAGACCTTGTCCAGATGCTCTAGAAAGTCTTTTAATTGCTATTTCTTGTCCATCTTGCAATTTCCCCTGAAAAAGAAAAAGCTAAGAACAAAGCACAAGTATAGACAATGGATTCATTTCAATAACTTTGTTTATAGGTACCTTGTAAACCGGACCAAACCCACCCTGCCCAAGTTTGTTGGACAAATGGAAGTTGTTAGTGGCTGTTGCAAGCCTTTCGAAATCAAGTAGTAACATTTCCTGCAGTTTAACTAGTGACAGTTCTTCAATTACTTTGTGGCTCGGATCTTCTGACGGTACACCCTTGTTTAAAGGTAGGGAAGTTTTGTTGCTCCTTTTCATTGCTGACTTAATTGGTAGCCATATTTTAACTGATCGAAGCGAGAAAGATAATGCAAACTCAGTTCCTTTACCAATAAAAAAGTAAGCTAAACTACAGGACTAAATTCTGAAACCACAGAAGATGGTGTCTTACCTGGGTGATTGGAAATCCTCCACGTGGCATATGCACAGGCAACAAGGATGACAGTTCCTATAATCACTGTAATTATAATGATGATTGTTGTTTTTCTCCCTTTATCTGTAATGAAAGTAATGTTTAAATTTCAAATGCAAGGAATTCAGTCCAAAGAAACTGTTTTTAAATGTTTGAGCAGATCTAGCATACCAAGTTCAGAATGGGCTACACGAAAATATAGATCAAGTCCTTCACTTGAGAATTGTTGCATGTCCAGTAGATCCTCTGTCCAAGACATACAACCAATCCCATCATGATGAGAATACGCCATACAAGAGCAATTCTCCAAGCACTGGCTTCTGCATATGTCTTGTGTAACAGTTGACCCTTGTGCAAAATCTGGAACTTTAACCATTTGCAGTTTCAAAAATTCATCTTCCTTTGTATCTGTACTTGTGTTTTGTTCTTTGACCCTTTCACACTTCAGATCTCTCTTCCTAACACATCCACTAGTCCAGTTCTGTCTATTCCATTCCTCTTTGTTTCTTTCCTCAAACCCTTCCAAACAGCTGCATATCGGTGATTTTTCTGAATTACAGATTGCATTAGGCCCACATATACCATAAACATCACAATCCGATTGTTCACTACTCCACGTAACTTCCATTTCTTTCTTCTCATCATCCCACCATGTTTGTTCAAATTGGCCTTGCGAATTCAATATATAGACTACAAATCCTGTTGCACTTGGTACACTATAATAGACCTCTTTACCTCCTTCGTCATCATCTACAACTTGAAAACCATTCAGATACGCACCTGCCATGTTTCTTGTCCCTGTAAAGACCCCACCATTCCATGGACCACTGCGCCAGTATGGTCGAGTTTCATTCCAAATGAAGGCTTCAACTATAGTTTTGCGTTGAACAATACCGAGAGAGAAGCTCCCAATGGAGGGATTAGAGGGGCTTCTCCATGATGTAAGTTTTAGTTCCATACCTGTTCTATTGCTTAGAAGTTTCATACCTGGCAATAATGTATTTGAAGGTTGCTGAAAACTATCCCATAAGATGGTTCCCCTTGTGGAGTCTGTGAGAACGAGCTTACCAGAGTCTGAAAACTGGGAACTTGTGTTGGATGTTATGTTGGACACATTCGTTGTCCAAAGTTGTTTCTGTCCATTGAGCACCACAAGATTGCCATCTTCAGAAATTGTGACAACTCCAGAAGAGTCATTCAGTGATTGGTTTCTGTTAGCAACCCATATGACTGTGGATTCAGACTTCCACCAAATTCCAACGTAGCGGTTTGTGGAGTTTTGAGGGGTGAAGAATCCCAACGTGAAGTTACCATCTTTGGAACTTAGAGTTTCTGGGTCCTTCATAGATTGAGATGATGTGATGTTGTCTGCAGCAATAGCAATGTCAAACTCATAACTACAGAATATGAACAGAACAAAGAACAAGTTTCCATGGTGTCTGAAACCCATTTTGAGATGTCCACAAAATATGAGCCAAATGACTTATTGTTCCTTTTAAGATTTGACACTTCCCTCTTAACAGACGTTTCAAAACTAAACTTCCCTCGTTAAATAAATTATTATTCAGTTCTCTAGCTGGCTAGAAAAACGTCTACAGAATAAACAGAACTTTCTAAAATTAAATTCCGGACATGATGACTACATTAATATCACGTTATAGTACAATTCAAATCGAAATTCTCAAGTAATGTCCCCAATTGAAGCATTATGCATGGGAAAGAACATACTGAAGAGAGAAAAGTCTAATAAGTTGTGTCTCCTTAGATAAGTCAAGTTCATAATATTCTACTGTTATGGTCACAAATTTAATAATTTTGTATGAATATATGTAAAGTGCATCAAGCTTTAAAGTATGATTAAGAGAAAAGTCCAATAAAGTTGGCTCTCCTTAAATAAGTCAAATTTATAATATTTTATTGGTAGCTCACAAATTCAATAAATTTGAATGAATAATTATATTTTAAATATATAATATATGTAAAGTGCTTCAAGCTTGTTATGAGGATAGTAAGTATTGCATTTAAAAAAAAATAAGGTTAAAATATTATTTAGTTCATGTATTTTCTTTTACTTTATCTTTAAATTTTTATAGTTTAAAATTGATTTTTTTAATCTATATACTTATTTTTTTCAATCCTTTTTAGTTCTTATGTTTGTAGTTTTTTTTTACTCCTTTTAGTTCTTGTCTTTATTTATTTATTTATTTTTTTATAATGTCTCTTTCATGTTGACATAACAAAGATATTAATTTGACGTTTTTAATATCGAATTTATTTTGTTAGAATTACTCTAAATTAGGTCTTTTGACTTTTTATGTCTCTTTTGTACCCTCACTTGTAATACATTGAAACATCTTTTTTTTTTATCTTCACAAAATTGAAGACCTCTATTACGTTAACACAAAATAGATAATATTACAAAATATTAACGATAAGGACTAAAAGGATTGAAACATTGCACATATAGTGACTAAATATCCATATTAAACTATTGGATTAAAAAAGATTAAAAAGTATAAGAGACTATAAAAATCTATTTTAAACTATAGTGATTAAGAGGCTTAGTCGCTCATTCTCTTCCCTCGACTAACGAACCTCCTCTTTCAGTTAAACAATTTCTTTTGATTCTTGATTAGTGTGGCTAGAAGATGCTTTTGTTTGTTGTGTGAAGCTATCCCCACGTCGATAACCATAAGTGACTTTTCCAACATCGTATACTTGTCCCTTTTTAAGCCACAGTAGCATCGAACTAACTTTTATTCCTAAGTCTCTCTTCCTCCTACACAAGATGCAACCTCAAACCTAACTTGAGATAATATATTTTCAAATTCTTCCCGTGATTCAAAAATAGAGATGTTATTTTATAAAATGTAGTAAACTTCATTAAAATGAAAAAGAAAAAGAAAATGCAATTAACAAAACTCACATAAGTCCACTTAGATCTCACATTCACGAAACAATTAGTACTTTTTCGTTTATGAATTTGGTGAAATACCTCAATATGTACAACACGACCAAACTCATATGCCTATAAAAAAATACTAATGATTATGTTTTAAATGAATTAATAACGTATCTTTTTCGATGTACATACCATACAAATGATGTGCTCGTGAATGTTGATTGAACCACTTGTATGACTCCCACCTTGGATGCTCGATTTTTTTAGGCCTATGCACATTTTATCCGAAAATTAGGTCGATTCCACTTGGCTAATGAATTGCTCCATACTTTGTCAAACATTTATTTAGGCTTTTTTTTCAAACTTTTTGAGCTTACATTAACATTTCAAGAAGCTTATGAGAGGATTTTGAGTGAAAATTCCTTTTTATGTCATTCTCATGTTCAAGTCTCCACCTTACTTTTCTCTACATCAAGAGAAAATGAGTAGTGAATATTAAAAAAAATAATCATGGACTTAAATATTTAAGTTACCTAATGACTCAAAATTAATAAGGGAATGCACCTACTTATGAAATTTTGATAACTAAGAGCCTTTTCTACATTGCAAGTTACTAGTTGTGTCTCAAACACAATTGCAATTTAACATTAATTTCTTTTCCAACAAAAAATTAAATTTAATTAAACAAGAAAAAATAAGATTAATTCACAAATCACATCCAAAGAATTTATTCTTTTATTTTAACTCAGAAGATTGGAAAAATGCCAATATGATGTAGTTTAAAAGTTCTATGTCTATACAAAAGAATTTAAATTCACTTAAACAAGAAAAAGAATAAGATTAACATATTGCATCCAAAGAATTTATTATTTTGTTTTAACTTGACAGATTGGGAGAATGTCACTAATAAAGTGTAGTTTAATAGTTTATATCAACAAAATAATTTAAATTCACTTAAAATAAAAATAATATGCCATTTATTTCACTATAGAAATCATTTGGCATCGTCTTATATTCTACATTTCTACTAGCTTTTAGATAGACACCTAATATACTTCTACCTTCATATTGACATTCAACATATACAACAAAAAATGGGGTTTGGTAATAGGCATTATAAATAATATTAATATACTAAAGTATAATTGGACAAGATTTTATAGCTCGGAACAAGTACATGTACAATGTAACATGACATTTATCTCACTCTATAAAGCATTTGGCACCATCATATATTCTACATTTCTACTAGCTTTTAGATAGACTACTAATAACTTCCATTCAAGGAGCTAGAAATGTTTTGTTTTAGACAAAAAAAAAAAAAAAAACAACAACATTGGAGTAGTATTATTATTATGCGACTAAGAGAGGATTAGCTTTGGCATTGTGTAATAAGGTTGTTACCTTGTCACCTGATGATCTCTAGTTGTGAAAATTTCCTCTCTCCACTCAAGGGCAAAGGGGTAAGATTTCATATGTTAAAACCTTAAAACCCACAATAATATGATCATGGAACTTTGGGACACCCCTTTTAATATTGTATAATCACTACAAGAAATGTTACATATAGTGACATGCAAAGTGTCACTATAGATACAATATATGTAGGTATATGTCTATTTAACATATATACACAATTTTAATGTTGATTTTGAATGAGATTTAACAACATATTTTGTGTGTCACTATAGTTTATACCCACACTTTTTAATAATATACCAACATATATTGTAGTTATATTGTATGGTAAAAGTAATTTTTAGTGTCATGTATAATGTCACTATAGTGTGTGTCACTATATGACAATTTTGTTGTAGTGAATTAAGAAAATGTTATTATTCAAGTGGAAAACATATGGTGCACCTAAGACAATGTGTATGTTTCTGTTCTAGTGGTGATAGTTTTGACAGAGAAAAGTTAAAGATATAAGAACAATAACCATAAGTATCTTGTATAACAACTATTCAAAGCTTCTTTAGTGAGCTAAGTGTATATACTTGTTCATTCCCCTTTTCCATCTAATCGTTAAAACTACGTGTAGAAGACAAAAATATGCTTATGGAAGAATCTTTTTCTATCTTTGTAATCAAAAAATTATTGCTTTCAAGCCTTAAAGTGTTGGAAACAATATTGTATTTGTACAAAAATCAACATTTTTGTCTCCATAAGCTTTGCTATTACTACAAGATAACCATTACATTTAAAAGGACATATATTAAGAAGGACATATATTCTAAACCCTATAACTACACCAAACCCTCCATAGAAACCTCGTGACCTTGCCCTACAACCCATTAGCATTTTGGGATTTTTCTCCAAGCACATGGTCCTACCCCAAAACCCACGAATCTTGCACGAGTCCCACCATGCTAAAGATGTTTGAGGGAAGGAAATGTAACGAACCTCTTGTGGTGATTGAAGTCACTATTGATGAACCTCTCACAAAAATTTGGGAAGGATAATGAAATTCACAAACCCTATTGTGATGGAGATTGAGAGTTAGGTTAGAATGAAACTGGGATAAATGGAGGACGAAGGTAAGCAAAATGATCTAACCCATGCGACCTCCTATTTCATTAGACTAAAAGCAAAAAAAAAATGTTACCCAAAAAATGCATTAGTGAGTAACTTATTTTTAAACTTTTTAAAAATTACTAATTGGAAATTTAATTTTGTTATGATATGATTTTTGTGACAAAATTTGTTGGTAAATTGCCATAGAAAACACTTCATCTAAAAGGCTCCAACTTTTTTGAAAAATTTTACTCATGGAAATTTTTTGGGAAATGCCTTTTAATGATTACCTAGTATTATATATGTTACTGATGTAAGGATTCAATAGGTCACTATACTTAGTATAGCACGATTACAACGCAATGAAAAACATAAAGTAATCAATTACACTAAGGTTCTTATGCAACAGTCACCTATATAATTCATGTAAAAGATATATGTATAAGGAATAAAAAATATAAAACGATTCTTGCTTATTCGATTGGAAAACATAAAGCCCCTTATGGGGTTACATATATCACTACAAGAAAAACTGTTATTATCTACGGAATATTACCTACGAAGTTTTTTTTTGTAGATAATTTTTAGTTATCTACAGAATATTACCTACGAAATTTTTTCTGTAGATAATGTTTAATTATCTATGGAATATTACTTGCAAAAAATTTTGTAGATAATTTTTAGTTATCTACAGAATATTACCTATGAGATTTTTTTTGTAGATAATGTTTAGTTATCTGCGGATAAAATCCGTTGATAACAACTTTCGTGGGTTATTTACAGGAAACTTTTCGTAGATAACAATTTTCATGGGTTATCTATGGAAAACTATCCGTAGATAACGTTATCTATGGATAAAATCCGTAGATAATAACTTTCATGGGTTATCTACAAAAAAATTTTCGTAGATAACATTATCTATGGACAAACTTTCTACAGATAACAACTTTTGTGGGTTATCTACGAAAATTTTTTCGTAAATAACGTTATCTACGAACTTTCCGCGTAGATAACGTTATCTACGGATTTTCCGTGAATAACCTTGGCAGGATGTAGGACAAAATTTTTTATGCTCTAAGTAATGGAAAGAATATTTGGTAAAAAATAAATATTATTAAAAATTGTCATTTTAAGTTTTTTATTTTTATAAATTAATGATGATAAAAAAATAACATACTAATATCTAGTTTTAAATTTGATATGAAAATATTATGATATAATTAGATAAGATTTTAAATTAGTATTTTATTAATGGTTGATAATTAGAAAATAAAACAAGAATAAATACATTTTTTGAATTTTATATCTTAGATTTGAGATGAATAAATATATTAAGTTAATT